AGATCGCCAAGGTGAAGTCGATCGACGAGGCGATTAAAGCCAAGGCAGTGGAGGTGGAGGAGAAGCGCAAGGAGGTGGACGCGCGCGTGAACACGATCGGCAACCTGGTGCACGACTCCGTGCCCGTGGATAACGACGAGGACCACAACGCCGTCATCCGCACGTGGGGCGAGCCTCGCACGGACGAGGGGGTGAAGCGGAACCACGTGGATCTGGTGCACATGCTCGACATCGCGGACTTGGAGAGAGGTGCGTGCAGCGCCGTTAATTTTCTTTCCTCTCACTCTGTTTGTTGTGATGAGTATGCTGCATTCAATTACGCTTTGGTCGCAAGTACGTGGATCTGGTGCACATGCTCGACATTGCAGACTTGGAGAGAGGTGCGCCGTTGGTTTCAATGTCTCCCCTTAGTCATCAATTTGACGCCTTGTTTTGCTTGGATTGCAACCACGTAGATGTGGAGAACATGCTCGAAACGCGTTTTGTTTTTTGCTTCCTTTTGTGTTTTTATTAACAGGGGCCAGCACGGCGGGCGGCCGTGGGTACTACCTAAAGGGGATGGGCGTGATGCTGAACCAGGCGCTCATCAGCTTCGGCCTCTCGTTCCTCGTGCAGCGGCAGTACACGCCGTTGCACACGCCCTTCTTCATGCGCAAGGAGGTCATGGCGGAGTGCGCGCAGCTCGCGCAATTTGACGAGGAGCTCTACAAGGTGCGGTGTGACATGCGTACTGATTTGATCGTTGGGAGATTCGGGGAATGATACTGGGGGGCCTAAACCCAAATCTGGTGTTCGAGTCATACGTGCATGTGGTTTTCGTTTGCTTTTTCGCTGACTGCTTTTCGCATGTCCCAACTTTCCCGTTTATCTTATCGCGTCGCTTCATGTTTCACGTGCGCTTCTGCGTCCGCTCAAGCGTCCACTCCTCATGCATCCGCTTCCCATACGGCGCTCCGCATACGCCGATCCCCATGCGTCGTTCCTTGTGTGTCTGCTCCGCGTCTGTCCGCGCAGGTGTCGGGTGAGGGCGACGACAAGTACCTGATCGCCACGTCGGAGCAGCCCCTGTGTACGTACCACCGAGGGGAGTGGCTCGACCCCAAGGCTCTCCCTCTCAGGTGACGCTCTTTCAGCCCCTCTCACTCGCCTCTCGTACTCGCTCTCCCCCCCCTTCTTTCAGCCCTTTTGCCCCCTCCCTTCAGCCCTTTTCCCCCCTCCTTCCTCCCCCACTCGTCCTCCCCATCCTGTTCCACCCGCCCCTCCCTCTCTTCCTTCTTTCACTTATGATCACTTGTGTGTTGGCGACTCCGCTGCAAAAGTCCCCTTAGTTTCTGCCACGTCCTAGACCATCTAAGTACCGCCTCGGTGTTCTGTGATGATAACCATCCATGCTAATTCCGACGCCCGTTAGGGTCGCATGGGGACTCTCATATTTTTTACTCTCTTACTGAGAACACCAAGGGCGAATCATAACGGCCAGCGTTAGCGGCCCTGGTAGTATACTGCGCAATGTTGTCCGTCAATATCATGATGATCTTACTCGTTTTCGTGACAGGTGGTCCAGTGATGTTACAAAACACCATGCTAATTCTGAACTTCGTCTAACGGAGTGTGCGGAAGAACATCTCCACTCAAGCTGAGGACCAACCCTGGATTATCGGTTTCTCATGCTCAAATCTTGAGTGTCGAATTCATTCTTAAGTCCCTTGTCTTCGCCACCCTGGTACACTCTCCACACGGACTCCTGCTGGCTTTCCTCCCTTATTTCGTCTGACCTTTGACTTCACCTTCCTTCCTATCCAGATATGCAGGGTACTCGACGTGTTTCCGCAAGGAGGCGGGGTCTCACGGGCGGGACACGCTGGGCATATTCCGCATCCACCAGTTTGAGAAGGTGGAGCAGTTCGCCATCACCAGCCCCAACGCCAACGACTCGTGGGAGGTGCACGAGCAGATGCTCAAGAACTCGGAGGAGTTCTACCAACAGGTGCGTTGTGTTGCTTGCTGCTGAGGGCGCGTTGGGCGCAGGGTGGTTGTTCCGTGAGACCTTCTCTTGAAATTTTCAACCGCACCGACTCATGGGAGATGCACGAGCAGATGCTCAAGAACTCGTTGGAGTTCTACCAGCAGGTGCGTTGTGTTGCTTGCTGGAGGCGGTTGAGCCCGGAGTGGCTGTTCCGCGTGATCTCTCTCTTGGACGTTTTACTGGTAACGACTCGTGGGAGATGCACGAGCAGATGCTCAAGAACTCGGAGGAGTTCTACGAACAAATGCGTTGTGTTGCTTGCTGCTGAGGGCCTCAAGCTGAGCGACTCTGATAAGTCGACTGAATAGTTATTTAGAGGAACTGGTTCGCCGCATGTTATCCTGCATAAACGCCTCTGGATTCGGTTTCTACCAAAAATGTTTTGTGGGTGGAGGGTTGGGTTGTTCCTCCCTTTTGTACCTTGCACTTTTCAAGTTGCCAGTAGCATCAGCAGTAGCAGCAGCAGCAGCAGCAAGAGCCCAATGATGATTCTTGTCTTAACCACACTGAAGGACGTGTGCCAAGGGGTGGCTCTCCCAGTCCCGCTCCTCCCTCTCTCCTCGCCCGTCCCCTCCTCCTCGTCCTCCTCCCTGTCTTTTCCGCCTCCCATCCATGTGCATTACCACCACCGCCTGTGCCTTTGTTCCGTGCCCATCATGCTTCCGCCTCCATTCATTGTCGTTTCCTCCTGTGTGGGAGAGGGGAAGGGAGGCAGCGTGGCTGGTGCGGGTCCGCCTCTTGGGGTTGTGCACACTTGTGGAAAAACCTGGCTAGAACTGAGGGCTTGCTTGCTGCTGCTTCGGATTCTTCATTACCACACTGCTCCTTTCTGGAATGGACCAGAAAGGAATGGAGACAACACATGGACCAGCGTTCCCATCCTATGGACCTGCTAGGTTGTGTCTCTGGAATGGAGACAACACATGATCCTGCCAGTCTGTCTAATTGCAAACCTTTTCAACATTATCCCGGACCTAACGTGTTCTGACCGCTAGACTTTGAGGCGCCGAACGAATTCGTTTGATCTCTCACTCCTGTTTCTGTCACTTCTCCCTCCACTTCTTCCATCTGCCTCTTCCCATCTCGCATCATCCCAGCTGGGTCTGCCATACCGAGTGGTGGCCATAGTATCGGGAGCGCTCAACGACAGTGCAGCCAAGAAGTATGACCTGGAGGCGTGGTTCCCCGCCTCCAAGACCTTCCGCGAGCTCGTCTCCTGCTCCAACTGCACCGACTTCCAGGCCAGGCGCCTGGAAATCAGATACGGGCAGAAGAAGGTGCGTCTGTGTGTGGTTTGTTGACTGAATGGGTGAGTGTTAAGACGGGATTTAGGTTGCTTGCTAGCTTGTTTCCTGCTCCAACTGCACCGACTACCAGGCCAGGCGCCTCGAGATCAGATACGGACAAAAGAAGGTGCGTCTGTGTGATGTGTTTACTGGGAAGCTGAACGCAAAAATGTCAGAAAGGCTTTTTGTGAGCTTGTCTCCTGTATTTGCACTGATACGATCAATTGTGTTCGGGCTCCTTCTTGAACACCCTCTAACTACTCACATATTTGCCCCTCTTTTGTTTTGGCAGATGAATGAGACAACGAAGCACTACTGCCATCTGCTCAACAGCACTCTCACTGCCACAGAGCGCACCATTTGCTGCATCCTCGAGAACTATCAGACGGAGACAGGTGTGACCGTCCCAGAGGTGCTTCGCCCCTTCATGATGGGTGTGGATTTCATCCCCTTCGTAAACAGCCCCCCTAGTGCACCGGCGGATAAAAAAGCTGCCAAAGCAGGTGGGAAAAAGGAGAAGGGAGCCGGAGGAAAGAAAGCAGAAGCCCCAGCTGCAGCGGCTGGTGTGAAGGAGACTGCGGATAAGCTAGCAGCAGCCGCGATTGATGGAGAGAAATAAGTGGGTTATTACAATTTTCAAGCTTGATCAACACCTTGTTGACTCTGGTTGGTGATTGGTGGAGCACAGTGGCCCTTTATTATGAAATGCTTGTGATGTTTGTAAGTTCCTATTATGAGAATAAATATTGTCCGCATGTTTGCAATGGGTTGACAGGAGTGAAAATGAGTGACACATCAGTCGCTTCACTGTTCTCCGTTCCGTTGCTCAATAAAGACTGTTTCGCTGTGTGCATTGTTCTCATTCTGCCCCTAGCATTTTCTACATTACGGTTCGATAAAAGCAAATCATTCCTGAGCAGCGAGTGTGCCGTGCCACTCAACCAACCCACGTCGGATCTAGTACATTTGTCAATCCTTCCCATTCCATTCACTGACTTGCTTCGCAAATCTGACATTCATACCGCAACGGCTCGCGTCTCGCTTCTAGCATATTCTCGCGTAGTCGTGCCGTTTCGTCAGCGCATAGTCAGGCGTTTTTATAGCTTCGGGATAGGCTTGGATATCACCCTGCAGCTCCGTCATAAGAAGCTGTCGTACCTCCGACTTCGCCGTCGCTGACCGAATCATAGGCGTCGTAGACTTCTTTCCCTCAGGTATTTTGAGCATCTTCGCGAATCTGCTCTTGCCACGTGGCAAGAGCAAGCAGCACCAGCTTCGAAATGATGAATTTTCCCGGTTCGACAGGTGACGATAATCATGCTCTAGACGAATCAATGGACACCATGGAAAGCCTGATGCTGAATCCGCCCGATCAGCATCCGACACGTGGCATGCCATCTGGCATGGTCGGAGATTACAGCAGCATCTTATCCTCCAGCTCATCGCAGTTTTACACGTCGGATCCTCTCGGCCAATCCTGGAACCCGCCTCCCCTACCCACGGATTCATCGCCCGTAACATCCGCCGCGTTTGGCGGGTTCCCTGACGTGGGCTTGGATCCGGCACCGCCGCCTTATCACGAGGCTCTGCAAGCGCCACGTGTCGGTGACGTCAGCAGCAGCGATATATTCTCAGGGCTAGGCTTATCCGCATCAGGCGGATTAGGAGGTTCGGATTTCGGGCTTGGCATGCCTGCAAGTGGCGCCGACATTCACGGCGGAATCCCCGGTGGGGTCTTTCCAGGAGGCGTTGGGGGGTTCTCTGGTGGGAGTGGTGTGCCAGAAGCGGCATCTGCGGCGGCAAATGCGGCGGCTCTTGGGGGGGCAGCGGTTGGTACAGTACCAGGCCAAGTGACTGGAGAAAATGGCGGCGGCGGCGGCGGCGGTGGTGGTAAAGGACAAGGGATGCCGCCCGATTTTATAGAAGTGAGAGTAGTAGGTTCCAAGAAGCTGCAGGAGGCGGGCGGCTCCATGATTCCCGGAGGGGGGTCTTACGTGGCGTATGTGATTGAAACGAAGACGAACGTGCCTGAATACGGGGCCCCGTCTGCCCGCGTGGAAAGAAGATTCCGCGAATTTGTCGCCCTGGCGGACAGGTACAAAGATTCGGTTCGGTTCGGTTCGGTTCCGGTCGGTTTGGTTTGGTTCCCCTCCCCTCCCCCACTTCTCCCTTTCCGTTCGCTGCTGCCCTACCAGTCTCTCGCACCCCGGATCCCTGAGGTTTGAGACCTCTCAAACCTCTTCTCCCCCTCCCTTTTGTTTTTCTCCACTAGACTGGCAGAGACCCATCGCGGCTACTTCATCCCGGTGCGGCCGGACAAGAACGTAGTGGAAGAGTCAGGTGCTGCAGGGGGCAGAGTTGACCCAACAAGGTGACTTTTGAGTCGACTCAAAAGTCACCAGGTGCTGCAGGGGGCAGAGTTGACCCAACATCTAATCCCCCCCTTCCATTCTCTCCCTTTCCTTCCCTCCCCCAGACTGGCAGAGACCCATCGCGTGCATTTCATCCCGGTGCGGCCGGATAAGAACGTGGTGGAGAGCCAGTCAGGTGCTGCAGGGGGCGGAGATGATTCAGCACTCAACAACCCCTCTTCCGTTCCCTTCTCTTCTGTTCCTCCCTTCCTGTCCTCCCCTCTGTTCCTCCTCCACCTCTTCCAGACTGGCAGAGACTCACCGCGGGTATTTCATCCCGGTGCGGCCCGATAAGAACGTGGCGGAGAGTCAGGTGCTGCAGGGGGCGGAGTTTGTGAAGACGAGGCAGGTGGAGCTTGACAAGTACGTGCAGCGCCTCGCTCGCCACCCTGCAATTCGCAGGTAAGTAAGATTCATTCGCCCTCTTGTTTGAGCCCTCATGTGAGTGACCTTTGGAGTCCACTTGTGAGTTTGTGAAGACGAGGCAGGTGGAGCTGGACAAGTAAGTGCAGCGCCTCGCTCGTCACCCCGCCATTCGCAGGTATGTGGGAGTTGGCTGCCATTCGCAGGTATGTGGGAGTTGGCTGCCATTCGCAGGTATGTGGGAGTTGGCTGCCATTCGCAGGTATGTGGGAGTTGGCTGCCATTCGCAGGTATGTGGGAGTTGGCTGCCATTCGCAGGTATGTGGGAGTTGGCTGCCATTCGCAGGTATGTGGGAGTTGGCTGCCATTCGCAGGTATGTGGGAGTTGGCTGCCATTCGCAGGTATGTGGGAGTTGGCTGCCATTCGCAGGTATGTGGGAGTTGGCTGCCATTCGCAGGTATGTAGGAGTTGGCTGCCATTCGCAGGTATGTGGGAGTTGGCTGCCATTCGCAGGTATGTGGGAGTTGGCTGCCTTTCTAAGCTGCTTCAACGCTTCTTGGGTTTGTGATGTGAAGACGAGGCAGGTGGAGCTCGACAAGTATGTGCAGCGCCTCGCTCGCCACCCCGCCATTCGCAGGTACGTTTGAGTGGCCACAAGGAACAAGGACCGTTTGAGTGTTGAGTGGCCGTTTGAGTGGCCTAGCCGTTTGAGTCCGCTCAACAGGAACAAGGAGGACCCGGTCACCTCCATCGCCTTTCTCACCTTCCTCGGTTTTTGAGCCGGGTCAATATTTCCTTGGTTCCGCCGACAAAATCCATCGGTCTCTTTACCGCCTTCCTCGTGTCCTCCTCATCCTCCCCTCCCATTCCAAAGATATGATCGCCTTCCTGACTTCCCGTTTCCCCCTCCCCCACACACATCCCCCCCCCCCCCCCCCCCCCCCCACCTTCTTCTCCCGCTCCCCTTTTTGTCCCCCTCCGCAGAAGCGCGGATTTGATTTCCTTCCTGACGTCATCTGACAGATTCCAGCCCGCTTCATCGGTAGACCTCGCTTCCCGCGTGCTGGAAGGTGCCGTGAAGCTTCCCCAGCAGCTGTTTGGGGCGGCAGACTCCATCACGCCGGCAGAAGCTGCCAAACCGGCGGGCGGAGGGAGGAACCTTCTCAGAATGTTCAAGGAGTTTGGGCAGTCGGTGGCGAACGATTGGACGGGCAAGCCGCCAGCTGTCAGTGGATCCACGTCAGCAGCAGGGGGAGGAGGAGGAGGAGGAGGAGGAGGAACGTCCACGTCAGCATTAGAAGCAGGAGCAGGAGCGGGGGCAACAGACGAAGAATCCGGAAAATCCGGCGGAAAACTACCAACGGCGCCGACCGCAGCGGAAGTCGAGGCGGACGAGGCGCGGTTTGGTTCGGCCCGAGCCAAGCTGGCAGACCTGGACAAGCACCTTGCCGAGGCTACAGCCGGGGCGGTAGGGATGATGCAGGCCCAGGACAGCTGTAGCCGCATTGTGGGATCCCTGGGGATCACGTTTGGGTCCCTGGCTAAGCTGCAGGGGCAGCGCCTGACGGAGGGGGGCGCGGGGGGAGGCGCAGGGGGAGGGGGGAGCGCATCAGGGATTGCTGGTGCAGGGGGAGCAGGGGGAGGGGGGGCGGAAGGGGGGAGTGGGTCGGAGACAGGGGGAGGAGGAGGGGATAAGGGGGCGAGGCAGCAGGAGAGGGCGTTTGTGGCGGAGTGTCAGAGCGTGGGCAAGGGCATGGTGCGCAGCGCCCAGCTGTCACACAGCGTGGTGGAGAGGAACAAACGCACCCTGGTGAGACGGGTTAGCTTAGGTTGGGTTGGGCTGGGTTTGTGTGACTGCTCCAGCCAGGGTTGCCCAGCACAGGGGTCGCAAGGGCATGGTGCGGAGCGCCCAGCTGTCGCACAGCGTGGTGGAGAGGAACAAACGCACCCTGGTGAGACGGCGGCTTGGTTTGGGCTGGGTTGGACTGGGGTGGGCGTAGTTGGGCAGGGTGTATGTATGTGACAGCTCCAGGGTTGCCCAGCAACAGTGGGCCAAGGGCATGGTGCGCAGCGCTCAGCTGTCGCACAGCGTGGTGGAGAGGAACAAACGCACCCTGGTGAGATGGGTTAGCTTAGGTTGGGTTGGGTTGGATTAGCTTAGGTTGGGTTGGGTTGGGTTGGGTTGGGTTGGGTTGGGTTGGGTTGGGTTGGGTTGGGTTGGGTTTGTGTGACAGCTCTAAGGTCTCCCCACACAAGGGTCGCAAGGGCATGGTGCGCAGTGCTCAGCCGTCCCACGGTGTAATGGAGAGAAACAAGCGCACCCTGGTGATACGGTAGACGGACTGAGGGGCTGGACTGTGTTGGGTTGAATGCGGTTGGGCTGGGTTGGTGTGATTTGATCAAAGGGGGCAAGGGCATGGTGCGCAGTGCTCAGCCGTCCCACGGTGTGTGTCATGGAGAGAAACAAGCGCACCCTGGTGATACGGGCTGGACCGCATTGGGATCGGACTGGCGAGACACATGCAATCCTGTCAGCCTCATGTGACATGCCATGCCACTCCGCATCACACTTTCAGGCACCAACTCGAATCCGCTTCTCTGGTTACACAACGTGTTCGGAACCTCCCTCCCCTACTCCTGTACTGTCCTCCCTCTCTACCTCCACCTCTCCACCCATGGATGAGCAAAAAAAAAACAAAACAAAAAAACTATTCACCCATACCCCCCCTTTTCCTCCTTTCCCCCCTCCCCTCCCCCCTCCCCATCAGTCCATCCTCCTCGAGTACCACAAGACAACGGCCGCCGCCCGGACGGCCCTCGCCGACCGGTCCCAGGCGCTGCTGACGTGGCAGACGCTGGAGAGCGATCTGGGCGGCAAGAAGACAAAGCTGGACCGGTTAGGGTCGGTGGACGGATCAGATCCTGCCAAGCAGAAGAAGGCTCAGGAGCTTCAGAGAGAGATTCAGGCGCTTGAGAAGGCTAAAGAGGCTGCTACTAACGAGTACAGAAAGATCACTGTGAGTCCGTGTGCTCTTTAGAACGTCAAATGCACCTTTGTTTCTTTCAAACCCCGGCCGCCACACGACACTCTCACGCCTGGCAATTATATCGCACTTTGATATCACCATTCTCACAGCAGGATTGCTATGCCTCAGCACTGCAGCGGTCTATGATTGACTAGCCCCTTGTTACCTGCTCTTACTCCCTTCTCCACGCCCCACGCCCATCCCCTTGCACTTACTCAGGAGCGCAACGCATCGGAGCTGCAGCGATTCGAAAGTGAGAGGAAGCAGGAGTTCCTGGCCATGCTGGGCAATTTCGTACAGGACCAGGTGCGTGTGTGTGTTGCTTCTTGTGTCATGGTTGTGGCGTTCGTTTCCGTTAACACATGCCTCATGTGTGAGGTGCGAGCGAGAGGAGGCAGTAGTTCCTGGCCATGCTGGGCAACTTCGTACAGGACCAGGTGCGTGTGCGTGTGTGTGTATTGGACCAGGTGCGTGTGTGTGTGTTGCTATCCTTGTGTGTTGGACCAGGTGCGTGTGTGTGTGTGTTGCTTCTTGTGTCATGGTTGTGGCGTTCGTTCTCGTTAACACATGCCTCACGTGTGAGGTGAGAGCGAGAGGAGGCAGTAGTTCCTTGCAATGCTGGGCAATGCTGTGCAGGACCAGACCAGGTGCGTGTGCTGCAATCCTGTGTTGCTATCCTTGGATTGTTGGGCGTTGGAAAGTCGGGAGGAGTTGAAAGGTAGTTGGGGGGGAGTCGGGACGGAGTCGGGAGGGAGTTGCGAGGAGTTGGGAGGAGTTGGGAGGGAGTCTGGAGGGAGTCGGGAGTGGATCTTCAGTTGCAAGATTTGACCATATGCAGTATCCCCCTGTACTCCATGCATGCATCCATCCATGCATGCATCCATCCATTTCTCCAGGTGCTGTGTGCACAGAAGATGGCAGCCATATGGGCACCAGCGGGGGAGGATTCCTCAGTTGCCATATATAACCAAATTCAGTATGCCCCCTTTCCCCATCCACTCATCCCTCCAGGTGCTGTGTGCACAGAAGATGGCAGCCATATGGGCACCAGCAGGGGAGGATCGGCCGTCTCAGTCCTGATACCAGAACTACTTGTTGAAGCCAGAAGGCATGCTTGCTATTCCTCAGTGCTGTGCGTGCCATGCTGCCACCCACGTCATGGGCTGTCGAAACGGAGAATGCTAGTGCGAGCTACAGTTATATCAGCGTGAAATGAGACGATTTGTCCAGGCCCCATAAAAAAACTGCCACCCACGTCATTGACAGTTGAGACGAAAGTTGCTGGTGCCATTACCGGTAACAGGTGTCAAATAGCAGTTTTACAGGACTACGTACCTTTGGGTGTGTGCGGTGGTGTAGTGTTGATAAGTTCAGTTCAGAGCGAACCAAACAATGCTTCACTAGTCCATGCAGAATTGATTGGCGTGTGCCTATCTTTGGGTTAATGGTTGTCAAAATGAAATTTATCAACTACATTCGTGGTCTTGCGCCCCCCACTCCACTCCTTATCCCCCTCGTTCATGCTTGAAAGAAAGCACGCGAAACTGATGTCATCTGTACACCCTGGTGGGGGAGGTGGATGAGGGAGAAGTGCACAAGAAGAATGGCCTAGGGTAGGGAGGAATATTTAGGGAGGAATGGCATGGGAAGGAGTGGTGTGGGCATATGTGTGGTGTGGGCAATGCAGAGGAGGGTTACATTAGAGAGAAAGAGTGTGGCCATGCACAGTGCAATGCTGGTGCTGGTAACCCCGCTTTCCTTACTCTCGTTACAAGGTTGATTGAGACGTCTCAGAAACTCCTTCCCTTACTCTCGTAACCCCCCTTCCCTTATTCGCTCTTCAACATTCTCCACCCACCTCCTTTCCGCCCCTCACATCCTCGTATTTACTCCCCCATTCCCCCACTCACCGCCCATCAGCGCGCTTCTCCTCCTGAATGGTAATGCACAGCTGCCTTGCGCCCCCGTAGTTACGGTGCTCATTTAGATATATGCCCTGCCGTGTTGCATACAGATGACAATGTAAGTAACGCAAAGGGAGGAGGGGAGGAAGGGGGGAGGAACAGGGTGAACAGGGGAACAGGGGGTCACACAGATGCGATGCTTGTTCCGAGACGTGCCCTGCCGCGCGGAAATCCACGGGCACACGAGATGGATCAACAAGCAAGGTAACACAGTTACCACACTTGTAGATGAATTGGAACGAGACAAACTGTTATGAGATGGATTGTAGATAAAAACCATGCTCACACTCGTGCCGCGCCGCCATGCTGCTCCTACGTTCCTATAAAGAGAGAAGCTTATAACGAGTACAAGAAACGCACCTGCCATGTGCCGAGCTTGAAGCGACCAGACATGATGGGGATGGTGAGCGAGCAGCCCATCAGCGAGGACTTCACGTGTGCTGCAGGGTGGGGTGAGGTGAGGTGGGGTGCGGTGGGGTGGGGAAGAAGAAACGGGTGGTGGCAGCAAGGTGAATGGTAGCGCACTTGACAGCACAAGGCACGATGGGGATGGTGAGCGAGCAGCCCATTAGCGAGGACTTGACGTGTGCTGCAGGGTGGGGTGGGGTGGGGAAGAAAGAATGGGTGGCGGCAGCAAAGTGAATGGTAGCGCACTTGACAGCACAAGGCATGATGGGGACGGTGAGAGAGCAGCCCATTAGCGAGGACTTGACGTGTGCTGCAGGGTGGGGTGGGGTGGGGAAGAAAGAATGGGTGGTGGCAGCAAGGTGAATGGTAGCGCACTTGACAGCACAAGGCATGATGGGGACGGTGAGAGAGCAGCCCATTAGCGAGGACTTGACGTGGGCTGCAGGGTGGGGTGGGGTGGGGAAGAAAGAATGGGTGGTGGTAGTAGGAAGGTGGATGGTAGCACAACGGTGTGATGGAGAGTGGTTCTGGGAGGGAGCAGGCCATGAGAGAGAAATTCGCATGGGCTGCTCTAAGATATGGGAAAATATGAGGAAGAAGAAACGGATTAAAACAAAAATAGATTGAGGAAGTGGAGGAGGGAGGAAAGGAAAGAAATGGGTGTGTGGTGATCCTGCAGTGCAAATCGGTTGAGAACGATAAGGTGTAAAGGGAGGGAGGAAGAATTCACCTGGCATGTCTTCATATCCCTCGTCCAGGTGGCGGTAGTGGTTGCCCTCCGGTGCAATGCGGTTGAGAGCGATAAGGTGCAAAAGAGGTGAAACACATCCGGCATGTCATCATAACCCTCATCTAAGTGGCGGTAATGGTTGCCCTCCGGTGCAATGCGGTTGAGAGCGATAAGGTGCAAAGGGGGTGAAACTCACCCGGCATGTCGTCATAGCCCTCATCCAAGTGACGGTAGTGGTTGCCCTCCGGTGCAATGCGGTTGAGAGCGTCTTCCATGTCCAGAGGCACGTCTGGGCTGGCATTCTCGTTAATGGTGAGGCTGGCAGACGTGTGCAGCACTGAGGGGGAGGGGTGGGGAGGGGGTGCAAGGGTGTGAGTGCTGCTCATGTCCAGAGGCACGTCTGGACTGGCGTTCTCGTTAATAGTGAGGCTGGCTGAGGTGTGCAGCACTGGGGGGTGCAATGGAAGGATGGAGGGGAAGGTGTGAGAGCTGCAAATATCCAGAGGCACGTCTGGGCTGGCGTTCTCGTTGATGGTCAGGCTGGCCGATGTGTGCAGCACTGGGGGGGTGCGATGGGGATGGGATGGGAGAGGAGAGGAGGGGAGGGGAGGGGAGGGGAGGGGAGGGGAGGGGAGGGGAGGGGAGGGGAGGGGAGGGGAGGGGAGGGGAGGGGACGGGGCAAGGGAATGATGGGAGGGGAAGGTGTGAGAGCTGCTCATGTTAGAGGCACGTCTGGACTGGCGTTCTCGTTGATGGTCAGGCTGGCCGATGTGTGCAGCACTGGGGGCATGTTGGGGGAAAGGGGAACGGAGGAGACACGGAGGGGAGAGGGCGCAAGGGAAAGAAGGAGGGTGTGAGTGAGTGTAGCTCGTGCCAACAGGCATGGTGAGACTGGCTGACGTGTGCAGCACTGGGGCGGTGGTGGGGGGAGAGGCAAGGGAGGATATGGGGGTTTCTGCGCCTGGCCGATGGGGGAAAGTCTGTGTGAGGCTGGCCGATGCGTGCAGCACAGGAGGGTGGGGTGGGGGGGTGGTGGGGGGGTAGTGTGGGAGAGGGGAAGGGTGGGGATGGGAGGGAAGGGAAGGGGAGGGGAGGGGAGAAAGGCCATAAGATAATCAGTGGATATTTTAGATATTTCAGAGACCATCTCAAACCTACAAGCTAATAGGCTAACTCACCAGATATTTATTTTCTGGACTGACCGATTTTTTTTTTTTTTTTTTCTGGACTGACCGATTTTTTTTTTTCTGGACTCATCGAATATTTTTTTTTCAGGACTCACCGAATATATTTGCGATGCCGACGCGGAACTCGGCGATCTCTGGCACGGCCCGCATGATATGCGACGTGATGATGTGGCAGCCTCTGATTGGCGCGGGAATGGAGGCATGGGGGAGGAAGAGGGGAGGTAAGGGAGAGAGCAGCGGATGTTAGGAGGGTGGGGGAGTGAGGTGGAGGGGGGAGAAAGGGGGAGGAGGAGTGAGGAGGGGGGAGGAGGGGGAGGAGAGAGGGGAAGAGATTGGAAAGGAGGTTTCGTGCTAAATGTGACGAATCAATCAGAATCTGTTCTAGGTCCGCCTTATGAATGTTTTGCCTGGGAGGCGGAATGCTGAATGCGTCTCGCCACGTGTACCGTTTGTAGGGCGGCAGCTCGATCGTCTTCTGAAACCACACCGTCTTCCCCGCCGCTTCCGCCGCCGCAGTTGACTGGGAGGCGGAAGAAGCGGAGGGGGAAGAAGCGGAGGGGGAGGCGGAGGGGGAAGCGGAGCCGAAGAGCGACGCGGACACGCGTGCCGGCCGGGGTTTGTTCCGACGATGGCGGATTCTCAGCAGCGCGGGCGGCGGAAATGCGGAAGCGGGGACAAGCGCGGAGAGCTGCGGGATCCGCGCGGCATCCGCGGCGGCGGAGTGAAACGCGCCGAGCGCGGCGGAATGAGTCGCGCCGAGCGCAACGGCGGGTGCAGCCATGATGTGGCAGCAAGAGAACGCGAGAAATGCTAGAGAGAGGCGCTACTTCGCTCGTGCCTGGCGAGTCACGGGAAACAGAAATAGCAGAAAACGGTAGATGTCTTTCGAATTCCTGAGAACCCAAGTGGTGGTGTGTGGTTGAATGCGATTCATTTGGAAGAACAAAAAGCATGCAATGGCGAGAACGCGGTGGTGTACAAATGATTCCGCTAAAAAAACCCGTTTTATTTCCACTGTATTGGACCTTTCGAGTAAATCACCGCGCGTTTTTAGGCGCCTCCAGAAGCGTCGCATCGCGCATGGTGCCTCCCGCGATTGCCGTCGCAGCTGCTGCGGCTCGGTTCGTGTCGCCCCTCTTCGCCCTAATTCCCAACCCTCCCCTTCGCCCCCTCGGTCCCCTCGGTCCCCTCGGTCCTTTTGTCCCCCGTCTATCCTCGCCGTTCCCGGATCCCCGTTCAAATTCCAGCAACGGCAACGGGGATCGCCGTTGCCTAAACACCTTCACCGCATTCCCTTCGACTAGAACCTCGTTACAGTCCCGCTCGTTACAGTCTCGAGCGCGCATGGCGCCTCCCGAGTCGCTGATCTCCGCGGAAGCCCCCGCCATCGGCGGAGACGGCGGAGATTCCGAGTCGCGCGCGATTCCATGGGGCCACCCGGAGCGGCTCGACCTGGCGATGGGATCGCTGCTGGACGACAAGACGCGGCTCCGCAAGGACGTGAAGAAGGCGCTTCGAGGATTGACGGAGGAGCAACGCGCGGCAGAAGGTGAACCTCCCCACTCCCCCCCCGCTCTCCTTCCCCTCCTCCCCTACACCACCGCTCCGCGCCTGTCTTTTGAGGCGCCTCAAAAGTCCTCAAGAGGCGCCTCAAAAGTGCACCCCCCCTCTCTCCTTCCCCTCCTCCCCTTCACCACCACTGCTCCGCGTCTGCCCGTCTTCCCACCGCACTTATTCTCGTTCCCCCACCACCGCTCCCCTTTCCCGACCTCCTCGCCCCACTTTTGCCCCCCTCATTCCCCCCTGTTTACTTGAACTCCCTTCCCTCCCTCCCTCCCTCCCTCTCTCCCAATCTCCCCACCTCCCTCCGTCCTTCCTCAACCCCCCCTATCCCCCTGATCGCTTCCGCACAGACGTGGCAGTGCAGCGCCACGTGTTGCAAGCTGATTGGTTCAGATCCGCGCAGCGCGTGGGTGCTTACATCAGCTGCCGGAAATTAAGGGAGGTGGAGACTGCTGACGTCATCAGCGACCTGCTGGGGAGAGGAGGTGAGTGAGAGTGGATGAGATGAGACTCGATGGAAATTTTGAAATTTCTAATCCCAGTTAAACTTAAAAGGTTATGGGAATCTAGCAAAGCTTATGGTTCTGAGTCTAGTTATCGAAAGCTTATGGTTTTATTTAGGCTGGGCAAGATGTCCCAACCTCTCCCTTGCTCTCTCCCTCTCCTTTTTTCACCAACCCCCCTCGCTTGCATCCCCCCTGCCCTCCCTTTTCCTGGTTTGCTTGCCTCGCAGCCAGTGTGTTTGTGCCACGTGTCATGGACAGCGAGAGCCACATGGTGATGCTGAAAATCAACTCTGTGCAGGTGGTGGGGGAAGGGCGGGGAGAGGTGGTTGGGAAGGGGGAGAACGAGAACGAGCAAGGAGGAGCAGCAGCAGCAGCAACAGCAGCAGCAGCAGCAGCAGCAGCAGCAGCAGCAGCAGCAGCAGCAGCAGCAGCAGCAGCAGCAGCAGCAGCAGCAGCAGCAGCAGCAGCAGCAGGAGGAGACTTGGATCGCAATGGGATGGGGATACTGGAGCCCACCCTGACCCTCACAGATGGACGGCCACGATCCAACGGTGAGCTCACACTCAAGGCTCAACTTGGTGTTGCTCTTGTTTTTGTTTCCTCTCGCAAATACAGCTTATTCCTTGTCCTCCTCTCTTCCCCTTCTCCTCTTTTTGCCGGTTCCTCTGCCCTCTCTCTTGATCCTAAGCCATTTGTGCTTTCATATAAGGTAACCTTTGATCCGACTCCTATTGCCGGCTCCCTTCCACGTCTCATCGCCATCTACAGTGTACAGTGAACAGGAGCCGTTGGATCTGATTCTCGTGCCGGGGTTGGCGTTTGATCGCAGCGGTGGGAGACTGGGACGAGGAGGAGGGTGAGTCTCTCCCTCTCTCGGCTTCTCCCCCTGCCCCCTCTTTCTTCCACCCCCCCTCTCCCCCAATACCCACACCCCCCACCCCAATCCCCACTGCCGATCCTTTTCTTTCTAGAGCACCTCTCCGTTTGTCATGCCGTCTCCCACACTGCACTGGTTCTGCCTCCTCTCCCATTTCTCATATAACGCCCCTTCCTTCCTTCCCTGTGCTCTTTTTTTAGTTGACTTAACCTTTTCTCCCCATCTCTTTTGAGTCGACTGGTCTTTTGAGTCGACTGGAAAATGAAACGGCCTCCTCTCTCCATCTCTCCTAACACTCGTACCTTCCATCCCTGTGCTCTTGTTTCTCACCATCCCCCTTATTCCACGCCTCGCCAAAAGGTACTACGACGTGTTTCTCTCGCAGTACTTGGCACATGCCCAGGCCAAGCAGTGGAAGCAACCGCTCATAGGTAAGGGTGCTATTGAGCTGCCTCAAACATAGGTAGGTATGCTCCCTTTTATTATTTCTTCAAGGTACCTTTTTAAGTCGTGCAACGCTTAAAGGCACGTGGCACCGTTTCCACTCCTGTGCTATCGCTTTACGCATGTCTTGCCCACAAGGCTCAGATTCTCTCCTCCCCACTGCCCATGTCCTCATGGCTTCCTTGCACCTCGTTGGACTGCAGTTAACCGCATTGAACTCCCAACCCCCCCTTGTCACCACCGCAATGGCTCTGGCCGACAAGGCTCAGACTCCTCTCCTCTCCCCTCCCCATGGAGACTTCCTTCGTTCCCGTTAGTGTCATCTGTCTCCTTGCACTGCATTGAACCACAGCTGACCAAACTGGGCTCCCTTCCCCTCTTTGCCCTGGCCCTTCCCTTCTTTCCCCCCTGTCAACACCCCACTGCAGTGGCTCTGGCCTACAAGGCTCAGATTCTCTCCTCGCCCCTCCCCAAAGAAACATTTGACGTGCCCGTTAGTGGCATCGTGTGTGCTGACGGCTTCCTTGCACCACATTGAATTGCAGCTGACCGAACTGGACTCCCTTCCCCACTTTCCCCCTTGGCTCTTCCCCTCTTTCCCTTTCGACAACACCCAACTGCAGTGGCTCTGGCCTACAAGGCTCAGATTCTCTCCTTGCCCCTCCCCATGGAGAACTCTGACGTCCCAGTTAGTGGCATCGTGTGTGCTGACGGCTTCCTTGCACCACATTGAACCACAGCTAACCGCAATGAACTGCATTAAGCCGTTTCAATGTATGCTAGGCGTGCCTCAGGCACTTAGGAGCCTGTCCTGCTTGTATCGTATCCGTATTGAATTAACCTGACCAGATTTTATGGTATACTTTTTCCCATTGTATCGTATCCGTGTTGAATCTTGCATTCGTCTGGAAATTGAAACAGGTTATTTTGGATTCATCTGACCAGCATTTGGTCATCTATATCGCCATTGACGTGCTTGGGACCACATGGGTACGGTAGAATCTCTGCACTGCGTTGGTTCTCAGTAGAATTTCTTCCCAAGTGGCACGCACCTCGATATTGGTTTTAGGGAAGGGAAAGCAGGTTTGGTAGAATCTCGGAACTGCATCTGGCTCGTTTTGCGATTTTCCATCCGAACTGCAAACCAATCACAAAATCGCTGTGTTTCCCAGGCTGCCTGTATTTCCCGCCCATACCTTTCGAGAGTTCAGTCACGCTTCGTGCATCATGAATGTTCAAGCTGATCCTGTGTGGTGAAACAATGTACCGCTCCAGATTGCACATAAACGTATCCGACCGCTTGTTCTAAACATAAGTTGATCTGAACCACACGAAACCTTCACTCCCTCAACCCAGACCACTCAACTCAACTCGACAATTTGGGAGCGACACCCGAGTCGCCTTCACAGCCATAAATACTTATGACTCGATCCGACACAGCGAGAGAGACATGCATCCTGCAAAGAACTCGCATCCGTACAATAATCTTTAGGACCACCACGCCACGACAACTTACTTACACTGTAGCGTGCGTATTCTTTCACGAGTTGCTCAGTCGCACAAGAGCCCGCCGTACGCTTCCGCGATCAGATCAAAGAGCAGACTGGGTGATTGAGAGTTTTGATTGGCTGGTTCCCCACATGGCTGCTCCCCAGGCCGGAACGAGCGGCGAGCGTTACTCTGCGGACGGAAGCACCAGACAAGAGTCGAATAACGATAGAACTCGATATCGGGGTTGTCGGCCGACGTCATCGTTTTTCCGTCTGCACGATATGCATATCTCCGAGTCGGAGGGATCACTGCTGCTCGCGCCATTTTCACCGCGGCTCCGTCCTTGGGATGAATTACCGCGGCGATTCGACCAACCAATTCGACGCTTCTACTATTTCTCATTCTCAGAAGCCTCGGGGAATGAGAAGCCAGGATCAAAGCCTTTATTCAGTATAGTAGTAATTTCTCACAGCTGCTGCACCTGAGACGCCCTTCGCATCAAATAGGCTATTTCCGCCCCATGACCCTCCGAGGGTAGCTCACTGCTGCCTCACTAAAGCTACTAGTTACTTCAACATCCATCATGGCGAAAACTCGGACCGTCGGATCATCCACGAGCATTCTCCCGCTAATCAACGGCGGCCACGTGTCCTCCATCTGGCACGACATCCTCCTCATTCCGCCTCCCCCCCCCGTTGCGCCTACGAGAACCCATTCCCGCTCCGGATTCTCCGCACGGCTGCACCATCGTCGCCATCATCATCACGACGATAAGGATCATCATAGCCATCGCCGTCATGATGATAATGATGACGATAATGATCATTGTCCTCGCCATCATCGTCAGGGTGATGAGGATTTAGGTCATCATCACCACCAACATCATCGTGATGATAATGATGATGATCATCATCATTCGCGCCATCATCGCCATCATCATCACGATGATCCTCCGACTCCCCCTTCTCCCGCCAACTCCTCCCCCTCCCCTTGCCACCCCGCTTCCCCCTTTCCCACCTCCGCCTTCTCTTTCGTCTGCCGCTCCGCTAAATCTCCCTCCGCCAAATCCCCCTCCGCCGATCGCGGGAGCCAAAAACTTCAGCGCCTCGACGACCCCCTTTTCCTGCGGGAGAAGCGGAAGGCGATCGTATTGGGCCTAGACGGCAGTCGTATTAAAGTGCTGACCGATTGCGAGTCGTCGCATTTGTCGTCGTCGCCATCGCCATCGCCGTCGTCGCCGTCGCAATCGACGTCGTCGGCGGCGCTCCTACTGGAGGCGTCGCCGTGGAATCTGGGCATCCTGCCGCAGACGTGCGTGCTCGCGTCGCGATCCATGTCGATGTTTTCCCGCTGGGATGCAGCGAATGATGGTGATTCTGGCGGTTCGGACGGCTGCAAGGACGAGCCGCGGATTAGCGAGCGTAATTCTGATGCGAATGATGGCGATTCTGTCAAGGAGCTCCGCGATTCGCTCTTTCTAACGGTGTGCGACAACGTGCCGCTGGAGGCGCTGGAGATTGGGTCGCAGGCGCGCGAACCTGGCGACACGTACGAAGTTTTTCCGCTGCTGGCGATGCCCCTGCGACTGCTGGGATCCGGGCGAAGCAGCATGCCGATTTCGTGGAGGATTGTAACCATCGCAGCGGACGACGAGCTGGTGACGAGCGGCAGGCTCAAACATTCCTTGGGCGATTTGTTGGATCGCGTTCGCGAGTGGGCGAAAGAATTGGAGTCGTTTGGCGAAATCGCGGCGCCAGGTATGCCATAGCTGGTTACTTCAACTACCGTCTCCCCTTTCGCTCCCCTACCCTTCGCCCCCCCTTCTTACTCCCCTTCTATCCCCCCCTCTCTCACCTCCCAGACCCTTATAAGATATCTCGCTCCTACATTCCCCCTCTGCTCACTCGCAGACCCCTCCTGCTCTCCTTGCTCGCCGCTTGCTTTTCTTTCTCCCTCCTTTCCCTCCTTATTCCCTCGTTCGTTACTAGCGCATGTATTTATTTCTTCCTGCGTTTCCCCTCAGACACTTTGTTTGCTCGTCCACTGCATAATTGCGAGATACAGAGAAACGAAAATGTTTGTGAAACTAAAAAATGACGCAAACGAAGATTGAAAACGCTTTCTAGAAAGTTCCCAACGTTTACAGAGAAAAATCCCCTTCCGCTTCCCCCTTCAACTAAACCCCCTTCCCCTTCTCCTCCCCGTACCCTTCGCCTCTTCCCCCCCTCCCATTTCCCCACCTTTCCCTCCCGCGCTCCTCCCTTTCTCCCTCTCCTCGCCCTCCCCCTCTTCCACTCCCCGCTGTCCCTGGTCCCAGGTCGCTACCCCAGTCCCTGCTTCGGCGCCTCCCCCTCTCCCTCGCCCGGGGAAGCAGTGGAGACGGGGGAAAGGAAATCGGGTGATCAAGACTCGAGACCTAAGGGGCAGGAGAGGGAAGCGTGGGGCGGCAGAAGCGGAGGCGGAACCCTGATCCGAATCTCACGAATGGACGGTCGAGGTTCGATGATCGGACACGGCGCGCTTGGAGCAGAGGAATGGGGGATGCCTGCGAGGGAAGAAGACGAAGAGGAGCGAGCGGAGCAAGCAGCAAGGCAAGCGAGGGAAGCGGAGCAGACGGAGCAAGCAAAGGAAGCGGAGCAAACGGTGCTGCATGCTCACAGCACGTGGCGAATCCTCTGTGCCACCCTGCGCCGCCCCGTTCTCAAGCGCACGGAGAAACACCTCGAAAGCTCGCACCTGCCCGAAAAACACCAGGGCAGCTCGCATCTGCCCGAGAAAGATCATGGCAGCTCACACCTGCCCGAGAAACATCATGCGAGGTTGCACCTGTTCAAGAAACACCATGACAGCTCGCACCTGCCCGAGAAACCTCATGGTGGATTGCACTTGTTTAAGAAACACCACAGCAGCTCGCACCTGCCCGAGAATGATCATGACAGCTCGCATCTGCCCGAGAAACACCATGGCGGCTTGCACCTGTTCAAGAAACACCACAGCAGCTCTCACCTGCCCGAGAAACAACATAGCAGCTCACACCTGCCCGAGAAAGTTCATGACAGCTCACATCTGCCCGAGAAACATCATGGCGCCTTGCACCTGTTCAAGAAGCACCACAGCAGCTCTCATCTGCCCGAGAAACAACATGGCAGCTCGGACCTGCCCGAGAAAGATCACGACAGCTCGCATCTGCCCGAGAAACACCATGGCGGCTTGCAACTGTTCAAGAAACACCACAGCAGCTCTCACCTGCCCGAGAAACACCACGGCAGCTTGCACCTGCCCGAGAATGATAACAACAGCTCGCATCTGCCCGAGAAACACCATGGCGGCTTGCACCTGTTCAAGAAGCACCACAGCAGCTCTCAACTGCCCGAGAAACATCATGACAGTTTGCACCTGCCTGAAAAACACCATTGCGGCTCTCACCTGCCTGAGAAACAGCGGCAGCAGCAGCAAGAGGAGCAGCAGGATAGGATTTTCCACAGCCCTGAACCTGCATCCCGTTCCTCCAACTCTCTGCCGGTTCCCTCTTGGTCCTTCCCTTCCTCTCCCTCTTCTTCTCCTGCTTCCTCTCCTGCTTTGTCTCCCTCTTCCTCTCCCTTGCGCTCTCCATCTGCTCTGCATTCAAGCTTCGACCGCCCCTCGCCTTCATCCTCGTTTAAGTCAGATTCGTTATTGTCTAAGGCAGCTCCATTACAGTTCAAGGCCGCGGGTTCCAGCCGGGCGACTTTTGAGTCGAGTCAAAAGTCAGCGGCGTATCAAATGCGCCAGAGCAGATCGGAGACGAATCTCAGCGATATGGGCGTGTGGAGGCTGATTGCTCCTCCCGAGAGCTATGGTCTTCCGGGGATGGTCTCTGGTAGATTGGGGGGGAATGGAAGAGGAGGAGGTGGAGGAGGAGGAGGAGGAAACAGAGGAGGGGGAGGGGAAGGGAGAGGAGGAGGAGGAGGGGTGAAAGGTGGATCAGCAAGGCACGACCACAGCCATGACTTTGCTTCAATGACAGACTTTCTTCACATTCACGACTTTATTTCGAAGATGAAGCACATTGACTGGCATCACAGTCACGACGCTGCTTCTTCGATGAAACACAAGGACTGGCTTCACATCCACGACTTGAAACACTGGCTTCACAATCACGACTTCAGGGACTGGCATCACAGCCATGACTCTGCTTCGATGGCGAAGCACAAGGATTGGCTTCACATTCACGAGTTTGTTTCGATGATGAAGCACCACAAGGACGGGCACCACAGTCACGACTTCAAGCACTGGCTTCATAGCCACAAAGACAGTCACAAAGACAGTCACACAGCCAGTCACACAGACAGTCACACAGACAGCCACAACGCTGCTTCGATGGTAAAGCACAAGGATTGGCTTCACATTCACGACTTTGTTTCCATGATGAAGCACCACAAGGATTGGCATCACGGGCATCACAGCTCTGAGTCTGTTGATCAGCTTGCAGGTTCTACCGGTAAGGTTGCAGCAGCAGCGGAAGCAGAAGCAGCGGCAGCAGAAGCAGCGGCAGCAGAAGCAGCGGCAGCAGAAGCAGCGGCGGAAACTGTTAAGTCGCAAGTTGTTCCTGGAGTCACGGCCACAGCTACAGCTGCTGTTGTTGCCGAGAATGGGCATGCTGTGGCAGAAACTGTAGAAGAAACGGTTGCAAGAACTGGAGCGTGGCCTTTTACGCACCCAGCCCATTCCTCTCCTCCCAGCGACTGTCACTCGCTTTCTGGGTTGACTCTGAAGTCACCCCGTCCTTCTCTATCCCCTCCTTCTAAGTCTCCCCGTCCTTCTCTATCCCCTCCTCTCACTCCCTCATCTCCATCCCCTCATCTCCCTCCCTCATCCCCATCACCTCTCACGCCCTCTCATTCCTCCACCGCCTCCCTATCCCCCTCAGCAAGCGCCACTGCAGCTTCGTCAGAGTCACTTTTGAGAATTCTCAGCAGTGACACTCTATCCCCCTCTGGTCGCCGCTCGAGCCTCAAATCAGCCAGCACCACCGCAGCTTCTCCAAGTGCCGGCAAGCGGGTGTCCTGGAATATTGACCCAGATAGCCCATCTGCCTCTGCCAGTGCAACATCTGGAGGGGGGGCTAGATCACCGGGAGGACGCGGTTACCGGCCCATGAGACGAAGGGCATCGTGGCATGCTGACATTCGTTCTGCTGGCATCCGTTCTGCTGTTGACACTGCAAGCCCGCTCCGAACTTCAACATTCCGTGCTGCTGTTGACACCACAAGCTTGCTACAAACTTCCACGTTCCGTGCTGCTGCTGCGGCTGCAGGTGCTGCTGCTCCTCCTGCTGCTGCAGGTGCCCTTCGCAGGCCGGCGGGGTCTATTTTTGATAAAATCGCTGGTGAAGCTGCTGAGGTTAGTCAGGGAACAACGGCCCTAGCAGGTGCTGCTGCTGCTGCTGCTTCTGGTGCTTCTGCTGCTGGTGCTTCTGCTGCTGGTGTTTCTGCTCCTGGTGCTTCTGCTGTTGGTGCTTCTGCTGTTGGTGCTGCCGTAGCTGCGGCCGCACTTTCACTGTCTTCCCGTGCTTCCCCACCCACGCCTCGAATGATATCAACAAATCTTCCTTTCAGGCCTTCCTTTAACCTTCCTCCTGTTAAGATCCCTGTGAAGAGCATGAGTTGCGGCCAGATTCAAGGGCGGTTGGTAGCAGCTGATTCTCCGAGCGGGTTGGAAGCTTCTGAAAGTGCGGAAGCTGGGGGGAGGAGAGAGGGCAGGAGGACACGTCCTGCTTTTGTGGTAATGCCCATTCGCAGCATGCACAGGCGGGATGATTATTAGTAGACCTTAACGACATGCTGCAAGTGGGGAGGCGCGAGGGAGGAGAGGAGGGCGAAAGACACGTCCTGCCTTTGTTGTAGTGCCCTTGCGCAGCATGCACAGGCGGGATGATTATTAGTTGACTCAAGATTCATGCTGCAAGCGGGGAGGCGCGAGGGAGGAGAGGAGGGAGAAAGACACGCGCTTCATTTGTGGTGGTGCCCATGCGCAGCTTGCACACGTGCATTTTGAGCCGACTACGAAATCATCCTATTTCACAAGAAAAAAGAGGAGGGAGAAAGGCATGTCCTCCCTTTGTGGTAGTGGTGTCTATGTGTAGATTGCACAAGCTTAACTTAGGCGATGGTACAGCGTTTGGGTCCCGTATTCGCAGCTCAGCATAGTTTGCATGAAATCATTGGTGCCAGCATTTTATCTATTAGAAAGTATGTCTTGTGTGAGTGACTAATGTCTTCCTCTTATTTCTTTTTATGCTCACGAAATTTATAGTTACCTTTCTTGGGTCACTGCTTTTCGAAAAAGTTCACAAAAGGGAAAAACGCATCCTCACTACAGAAGTGATTCCTCCCTCTCCGTCGAAATCTATGGTGTGCACGACCCCTCCATCGTTGTCGTCCGCCATTGTCGTCCGCCGTTCTCGCTGCTTCAAATCAGCCACATGGCTGTAGCCTTCGCTAACCCACGGAAAGCTACACGGTAGCCGACTGGGATTGCAGGTGTATAGCGTCTCGCGGCTGATTAGACGGAGCAAAAGTTTGCCTTCGCTGCAGATTGCGCTTCAGCGAAGAGCTGATTCTTTTTTAGGCGCCTCAAAATCTGCGTGTAGCGAGGAGTATTCTGAGGCGCGTCAAAATGCAGATTGCGGTTCCGTGATAAGCTGATTCCTCCTAGAGTTCTCTAGATTGCTCATGTTCCTAGAGTTCACCGCGTTGTCATTGAGCAAGGTTCAGCTTGCTGGCGTTTCTGTGAATCTTGTCTCCGCATGATGGCGGATCGTGCAACGACAGATGCCATGTCACCGGCAGTACCCATTCCAGAAGAAACAGCAGCGACACTGTCAGCAGATGAATCACCACAGACAGCAGCGCCATCGGCAGCAGCAACAACAGATGAACCATCAGTAGCAGCAGCCAAAGCTACCACCCCAGCAAGTCCCAGTACATTTGAGACGTCTCAGAAATCCATTTCAGCCACACCAGCACCGTCAGCAGATGAATCACCACAGACAGCAGCGCCATCAGCAGCAGCGACAAATGAACCATCAGTAGCAGAAGCCACACCTACCATCCCAGCAAGTCCTAACATCGGTCCCTTCCATGCCTATTCTCTCCGTTTCTTCTCCTCCAACTCGAGCTCCGGTAATGGAGATGCTTATAACGGGACGTGCAGCACGGAGTGCTTTTCCGGGTTCATGCTGCTGACGTCGCCTGCCATTGGCCCGCTGGATGATGACGTGGCAGACATGGAAGTCCCCCTTTGCTCCAAGTATTTTGGAGCTTGCTCTGCTGCTACACATGCAACACATGCACCTGCAGCTGCAGCTTCGGAACCTACAGTTACAGCTACGGCACCTGAAGCTACAGCTTTGGGACCTGCTGCTACAGATGTGGGATTAGCTGCTACAGCTACAGCTACGGCTACTGCTTCTCGTACTGCTGCTGGTGTTGTCTCTGCCGGCACCTCATCTGGGTTTCCCCACCAGCCTTCCTCGCAAACACCCCCAGTTGTGTCGGGATCGGTCCGACTCTCCCCTCTTGGAGCCCTTGCTTTCTCGCCTCAGCAGGTCGCTGCTGGCGTGACTGCTGCTGCTACTGCTGCTGCTACTGCTGCTGCTACTGCTGCTGCTACTGCTGCTGCTACTGCTGCTGCTACTGCTGCTGCTACTGCTGCTGCTACTGCTGCTGCTACTGCTGCTGCTACTGCTGCTGCTACTGCTGCTGCTACTGCTGCTGCTACTGCTGCTGCTACTGCTGCTGCTACTGCTGCTGCTACTGCTGCTCTTACTGCTTCGGGATCGGTCCGACTCTCCCCTCTTGGAGCCCTTGCTTTCTCGCCTCAGCAGGTCAGTCGCGCTCAGACCATTCAGATGGTTCAGGTGATTCAGGTGGTTCAGATGGTTCTGATGATTCAGGTGGTTCATATGGTTCAGATAATTCAGGCTATTCAGGTGGTTCAGGTGAATCGGATGGTTCAGGTTCAGCTCATGCAGGTGTCAGAATGCGTCAGCTCTGCACCCACCTGCACTGCACCCACCAACCTCGTCTCCCCCATCTCCTTATTCCCCCGTGTCCCCCGTATCCTCATCCTCTCGAATGCTCTTCAGCTGGCCAGTGCCATGTGCTACCACATGCGTCTGTTCGGCATGGCATTGGACCGATGGGACCTCATGCACCATGCTCCCATCCTCGCCCACGCTGCTGCTGCTGCTGCTGCTGCTGCTGCTGCTGCTGCTGCTGCTGAATCTGTCGCTGCTACAGCTGAAGCAACTGCAGCTAGAGATGAATCTGGTGCTGCTTCCGCTGGATCGGCGGCAGCAGCAGCGGTTGCCACGACTGCAGCTGATATTGCTGGTGGTACCCAGCCCACGCCCATCAGCACCGCTGTGCGCCCCTTTGGTGCGTTCTGGACCGCATCCCACTACTGCCTCGTGCTGCCCTGCTTGGGGGAGGGAGGAGGGGACGAAAGAGGCAAAGGGGCAGCCGCAGACTTGCGAGAGGTCGATGGGAGAGGGAAGGATGGGAGAGGGACGAATGCAAGCAAGGAATGCGAAGGGGTGGATGGAGAGGAGCAGGCGGGAGGGGCTAACGTGAGCAGGGGAGGCAATGATGGTATGATGAACATGGGAGGTCACGATAACATGAGCAAGGGAGGTCATGATGGCATGAGCAGGGGAGGGGATGATGATGTGATGATCATGTTGATGCGGAGAATTGACTGGGGGACGGTGGACAGGGTGGTGTCTCTGGGAGGCTGTAGTTCGGCCTTGAAAGGCTGCGCACGTGCTGCTTCTGGTGATGCTGATGGTGCTGGTGGTGATGAGTTGACTTTTGAGTCGACTCAAAAGAGAATTGACTGGGGGACGGTGGACAGGGTGGTGTCTCTGGGTGCGGCCTTGAAAGGGCGTGCAAGTGCTGCTTCTGGTGATGCTGATGGTGCTGGTGATGGTGGTGGTGCTGCTGCTGCTGGTGATGCTGCTGATGGTGATGGTGCTGCGGCTGCTGAAGCTGCGGATGGTGATACTGCTGCTGCTGCTGCTGCTGCTGATGTCCCAAGCACCACTCAGGATGTCCCTGCTACCACGCCTCTGCTCGTGTGTGCTCGTGGGCCTGTGGACGAACGGGAACTGCACGGCATGGTGGCATGTGCGGTGCACTCGCGTCTGCTGTACCAGTTAGTGGGGAGGGATCCGGAAGGGAGGACAGCACGCAGTGAGTTCGTGGGGCCGCATGGAGGCACTTTCCAACAGTACTTCCAGAATCAGTGAGTGCATTTCCTTGGGCATGCGGGTGAGAAACTGGGGAAGATATTCGCGTCTGCTGTACCAGTTAGTGGGGAGGGATCCGGAGGGGAGGACAGCACGCAGTGAGTTCGTGGGGCCGCATGGAGGGACGTTTCAACAGTACTTCCAGTCCCAGTGAGTGCCATAATAAGTGGCGGATGAGGGAGTGGGGCGGGGTGTGCACTGGTGTCTGCTGTACCAGCTGGTTGGGAGGGAGGGACCCCGAGGGGCGGACAGCACGCAGTGAGTTCGTGGGGCCGCATGGAGGGACGTTTCAACAGTACTTCCAGTCCCAGTGAGTGCCATAATAAGTGGCGGATGAGGGAGTGGGGCGGGGTGTGCACTGGTGTCTGCTGTACCAGCTGGTTGGGAGGGAGGGACCCCGAGGGGCGGACAGCACGCAGTGAGTTCGTGGGGCCGCATGGAGGCACGTTCCAACAGTACTTCCAGAATCAGTGAGTGCAGTGAGTGTAGCGAGTACAGTACTTCCAGAACCAGTGAGTGCAGCGAGTGCAGCGAGTACGGTATTTCCACAACCAGTGAGTGCATTTCCTGGGGCATGCGGGTGAGAAACTGGGGGGAGCAGTCGCGGCTGGTGTACCTGGTGGTTGGTGGGGAGGGATCCGGAAGGGAGGACAGCACGGAGTGAGTTCGTGGGGCCGCATGGAGGGACGTTTCAACAGTACTTCCACAACCAGTGAGTGCACACATGTCCTGTCCCTCAATCATGCCTTGCATGCCCCTCAATTATCTCTCACTGCCCAACCAGCAAGTGCATGCAACCAACACAGCCCCTGTGTTTAGGTGGAGCATTCTTTTCAGTGCTGTGTCCCAACTGCTGCTGCTGCACGCATTGGGGGACCCAATAAACTGAACTCATAAGATTAACACTTCGATTCATCCCAAAACAGTGGACGTTCAACCGGCAACCCCAAGCCCAGTGGCCGAATTTCAAATTTCTCAAAAGTACCTAGTATGGACTATCGCCGTGCTACCTCTACCCCTAACCTTATGCACCCTTAACCCTGTCACCCCTAACCTCCTCTCCAGGTACGGCATATCGCTGCAGTCTCCTGACCAGCCCCTGTTCGCCAGCTGAAGCCAGAGCCAGGGGCTGCACACACCGCCAAACACCCACACCCCTACACCCTTGCACTTAAGCACCCTTAACCCTGCCACCCCTAACCTCCTCTTCAGGTACGGCATATCGCTGCAGCACCCCGACCAGCCCCTGTTCGCTGCATGCCAGCTGAAGCCAGAGCTGCGCAATGCATTGCTGCTGCTGCCCTAGGCACTGTCAAGTGAAACCCTTATACTCCTACCCTCATGCACCCCTAACCCTGCTACGCCTAACCCCCATCACCAGGTACGGCATATCACTGCGCCATCCCGACCAGCCACTGTTCGCTGCATGCCAGCTGAAGCCAGAGCTGCGCAATGCACTGCTGCTGCTGCAGATCCCACCAGAATGTAAGCCGCACTGCAATCCTCGTTCATTGGTTTGTACATTTGTATCGATATCATATGTGCACCAGCCCGCTTGTCTGTTCTTGTCTGTCCTCTCATGTCTGTTTACACACAGGTACTATCCCATGCATGCATGCCTTAAAACCCCCTTTCTCGCCCGTCTCCCTTCCATCTCCTCACCCTCTTCCCCCTTCATCTCCTCACTCTCTTCCTCCATTCCCCTCTATGCCCCTCCACCACCCCTGCATCGCCCTCTCTCAGGGGACACTTAGGATCTGTTGGCCAACAGGGCCGTCCAACAGTGTTGATAACCAATTTTGGAGTCGACTCAAAAGTGCCGTGTGCCATTGTAACGAGGTGACTTTTGAGTCGACTCAAAAGTGCCGTGTGCCATTGTAACGAGGTGACTTTTGAGTCGACTCAAAAGTGCCGTGTGCCATTGTAACGAGGTGACTTTTGAGTCGACTCAAAAGTGCCGTGTGCCATTGTAACGAGGTGACTTTTGAGTCGACTCAAAAGTGCCGTGTGCCATTGTAACGAGGTGACTTTTGAGTCGACTCAAAAGTGCCGTGTGCCATTGTAACGAGGTTACTTTTGAGTCGACTCAAAAGTCCACCACCCCTGCATCGCCCTCGCTCAGGGGACACTTAGGATCTGCCCAACAGCAGGGCCGTCCAACAGTGTTAGGATCCGGCCAGCAGGGCCGTCTAACAGTGTTAGGATCCGGCCAGCAGGGCCGTCTAACAGTGTTGATAACCAATTTCGAGAATTCTGAAAAGTTCCTTAACGAAACCCCCCCACTCATCTCCCTTCCATTTCCCCCACCTCAGTGGACACTTGGGATCTCGTCAACAGGGCTGTCCAATTGAGTGGCTGGACGAGTTTTGATGCGTGCTTGAGTGCCCCGTCCCCGCTCTCTCTCCCTCCCTTTCGCAGTGGACACTTGGGATCTCGTCAACAGGGCTGTCCAATTAGGGCGAGAGGAGCAGATGCCTGAACGTGCCAGCACTACAGTGGGGCCGGCTGTAGCAGAGAAGGCTGGAGCAATGAAGGCTATAGCAGACACAGCTGTAGCAGACAAGGTTTTGGCAGACGAGGCTGTTGAGGCTGTAGCAGACACAGCTGTAGCAGACAAGGTTTTGGCAGACGAGGCTGTTGAGGCTGTAGCAGACAAGGCTGGAACAGACACAGCTGTAGCAGACAAGGCTTTGGCAAATGAGGCTGTAGCAGACACGGCTGTAGCCGATGAGGCTCTAGCAGGCATGGCTGCAGTAGACAAGACTACAGCAGAGAAGGAGCAGCAGCGGCAGCAGCAGCAACGCACAGCGCAGGAGGCAGATAAGGGGCAGAAGCAGGAGCAGCAGCAGCAAGGCACGGGGCAGCAGCAGGAGCAAGGCACAGGGCAGGAGGAGGCAAATAAGGAGCAGCAGCAGGGCAAGGAGAAGGCTAGGAGCCGGCAGATGTCACACCTCCCATTGGAGCTACTGGTACCGGTGCTGCCACTGCAGCACGTGCTCTTTGCCTCGCTGCTCCCCTCGCTGCTCTCCCGCCTTGACTGCCTGCTCACTGCCCGGGACATCCGACGGTTCCTTGTGCGGCAGTATGGGTGTGAGCGGCAGGGGCAGCAGGCACCGCGTTTTCCTGCTATTGATGTGAGTCACTCTCATGCACTGCTCTGCACTGCTCTGCTCTGCACTGCTCTGCTCTGCACTGCACCGATTCTTGTGTCGACTCTACAAGCAAGAACCTCATTTTCCTGCGATGCATTTGAGTCATTTTAATGAGGTGCTTGGGTACGCATCTCCTTCCTGCCCGCATAAACATGGGGACAGATTCGTGCAGCTCACTGCGTGAGATGAGTGGATTTTTCAGTCGACTAATCTCGCGCGAATACGAGGACAGATGCCTGCAGCTCGCTGCGCGCCTCTATTTTTGCACCTCAACCACCCCTATCCACTCACCAGCACATCTTTCTTCCCTCCCTCGTTCCCTCCCTCGTTCCCTCCCTCGTTCCCTCCCTCGTTCCCTCCCCCTCTCCCTCTCTCTCTCACCCTCGCTTTCTTCCCCGCACCCCTCAGCTCCTGCCCGCCCTCGCCTGCCCAAGCACAACAGAGAGCGGCGTCGACACGTACGAGAGTGACGAGGTGACAGCTGTGTGCAGCTTGGTGCTCCCTTCCATCCCTATCCACCCACCAACTTGTCTCACTCTCCCTCCCTTCCTTTCCCCCCCGCACCGCAGCTCCTGCGTGCGCTCACCTGCCCCAGCACAACAGAGAGTGGCATCGGCACGTACGAGAGCGACTAGGTGCTGTGCTGGGGGACAGCTGCGTGCAGCTTGGTGTTTCCTTCCATTCTTGCGCCTCAGCCGTCCTTCTCCACCCACCAACACCCCACCCTCTCCCCCATTTCCCCCTCAGCTCCTGCAAGCGCTCACCTGCCCGGGCACAACGGAGAGCGGCGTTGGGACGTACGAGAGTGACGAGGTGCTGGGAGACAGCTGCGTGCAGCTCGCCGCCTCCTGCCACCTGTTCGCTGCTGCTGGCTTGCCACCCCAGCCACAGCATCGTGGGCAGGGGCATGGAGAACGAAAGAGGAGTGTTTCATACGATGAAAGCACGGCCTCCCTGCCAACATACGATGACATGAAGGGGCAGTGCGTGAAGCTAGTGTCAAACAAGCACCTTGCAGCGCTGGCAGTTAAAGCCGGAGTACCTGCTCTCGTTCGCTGCAAGCCCTTCAGACCATCCGACTGGGTCGGCCCTCTCGTCCCTCCCTCCCACGCTGTGCTGCTTCTGGCTGACTCCCTCTCTCACGCTCTCTCACCCTCCCCTGCACACTCCCCTTCACGCTCCCCCTCACTCTCCCAGTCACAAGCAGCACCACCACCTCCTCCATCACCCTCTCAAGCTACCGCAGTTTCTCAGAATCTCCCTCCTGGCCCCAAAGCCCTTCTGGACTCCGCCTTCGCCTCGCTGGCAGCAGCGCAGGCAGCAGCAGCCGCCAAGTCAGCGCGCCAGCTGGGCAAGAAAACGCTTGCTGACGTGGCAGAGTCCTTGGTGGGCGCCAGCTGGCGGTGCGGCGGCGCTGACATGGCGCTGCCGGTGCTGAGGTGGCTGGGCCTTCCTACGGAGGGTGTGGGGGAGTTGCTGAGGGGAGAGATGACGTGGAAGGGGAAAGAGGCGGAAGGGCTGGTGGAGGGAGGGGTATCGAGAGTTATAGAAGAGCCAGATGTGGCACTAGGAACGAAAGCCACGTGTATGAAGAAGTGTTTTGAGACGTCTCAAAACACTTCTTCATACACGTGGAAGGGGAAAGAGGCGGAAGGGCTGGTGGAGGGAGGGGTACCGAGAGTTGCTGAAGAGCCAGGTGTGGCACATCTGGAGCAACGGGCACTAGGAATGAAAGCAGCAGCGGCAGCTGGAGAAGAGGCAACAGTAGCAGTGGCAGCAAAAGTGGCGGCATCGCGAGAAGCCGGGCAAAGGGTGAGTGGCAGCAAGCATGCGTTGGAGTTACCTGGACAGCCGTCCCTGCTGCCGCTTCAGCCGCCAGAGAAACGCTTGAAATTGCTCGAAGGGGAGTGCGTGCAGCAGCATCAGGAGCAGGACCAGGAGCTGCAGATCCACCAGCCCAGCTTTCTGGAACCTAGGCGCCACGTGGCAGCAGCTGGTTGGTTGTCGGAGCTGCAGGATGCAATGGGATACCGGTTCAGGGATGAGGGGATTCTGAGGGAGGCGATACGGGAGGGGGAGTTGAAGTGGGAGAGGCGGCTTGTGTTCCTGGGAGAAGCTGTGCTAGACTTTCTAGTCATGCACCACATGGTGCGAGCAACATTTGGGGCGGCCCATTCACCTGCTGCCACGTCACCGCATGCCACGTCATCACATGCCGCCCGGCCGTCCCCGCACCAGCTGACGAACCTGCGCAAGGCCGTGATCCACTCGGAGCGGTTCTGCCAGCTGGCGGCGTGCCGTGGGCTGCTGCGATTGGTGCGCAAGATACAGCGGGCGGCCAAGGCTGCTGCTGATAGGGCTGCTTCTGATAGGGCTGCTGATTCGGCTGCAAGGGCTGCAGAGAGGAGTGTTGAGGAGGTGGGGAGGGTGTGGCAGAGGAAAGAGGAGGGGACGAATGAATGGGTACATGCCAGTGGTTCTAGTCACATGAATGTTCACACGGATTCCACTCACCTGGGTTCTGCTTCAGTAAATCCCGCTCCCGTGGGCTCTCCTCCCACAGGCTCTGCTTCCATGGGTTCTGCTCCCATGAGCGCTTGTCTGAATGGCCTAAGAAGTCATTTGGATGGCATGGGGGTTCCCGAGGATGATGCTGATGATGATGATGATGATGGAGGGCAGAAGCCGTTTCCTAAGGTAACTTCTTCCCACCGAGGAACCATGTAACCGTGTAACCGTGTAACCACGTAGCCGTAACCATATGACTATGTCGTGTAACCACATGTTACCCTAAAACTGGTGTCAGAGTTGCCAGTGATACCAGAAATCTTCTTGCTTCACCATTCTTCTTTCCTCTACTTCCTTCTCGCTTCCCTTCTCGCCTCCTCCTCCCCCCCATCAGGACGTCTCTGATCTCATCAAGACCCTCACAGCAGCAGTCTTTCTTGACTCCACTCCTCCAAACACCGCTTCCACCGCACTCAACCCCCTCGCACCTCCCCCTCTCCATCCCCCGTGCCCTCTCGCCCGCACGTGGCATGTGGTTTCTTCTTGGCTCTGCCCTATCCCCCTGCTGCATCCTCTCTCCCTCCACCCCCCCTCCGCCCTGCTCCTTTTCTGCTGTGCCCTCGCCCTCCCCGCTCCCATTTATGTGCCCAAGGCGCAGGGGGGCGGGGGAGGGGGGGAGCAGTGGGGGGGAAACTGGGGGGAGGGGTGGGGGGAGGAGTGTGGGGGAGAGTGGGGAAAAGGGGAGGAAAGGGAAGGGGAAGGGGATGGGGCGTGGAAGCACGAGGAGAGTGGGAGGGACGGAGGGATGGTGTGTGGGAGCAGTGTTGGGAGGAGAGGAGGGGAGAAGGGGGAGGAGGGGGAGAAGGGGGAGGAGGGGGAGGAGGGAGTGGAAAATGGGCTGTTTGAAAAGGGCGTGGGGGGAAGAGGAGGCGGAGGAGGGGAGGGAGAGGAGGGTGTGGTAATGGAAGTGGAGGTGAGAGGAGTGGTGCTGGGGGAGGGGTGGGGGGTGGATGATGTAGCAGCAACGGTGGAAGCAGCTTCTGGCGTGCTGATGAGGGCCAAGGTGAGTTTGATGCACCTAGGTGATAGTAATGCTGTGAATGTGACGAAGGGAGCTTTGAGTGTGACTATATATGAGCAGAGGAATCAGGTGCTGGAGATGTGAGTGTGACTGTACCAGGAGACAGAGAGGGTGCGCATGCTGGGGGCTATGAGGCCCTTTGAACTCACTGGTCTTGCCGTGTCTCTCCGCCTACTCTCTCCCCTCTCCTCTTCTCCCTCCAGACTGTTCAGGGATTCCGGCAATTGTACCAGGAGGCAGAGGGGGCGCGGGTGCTGGGGGCAATGAGGGCCGCATGGGAGGGGCAGACGGAGGAAGGAGATGAGGGAGGGGAGGGGAAGGAGGCAGGAGCAGAAGGCATTGCAGGGATGGACGGAGATCTGCCTGAGGGTGGCTTGAAGATTGGAGGGATCAGTGATTGTAATGGTGGGCAGAAGAAGGCAGGAGGGAAGAAGAGGAAGCGAGGGAAGTCTGGAAAGGGGGTGGTAGCAGAAGAAGCAGCAGCAGCCGCTGGAGAGTTGGCAAAACTAGGAGGGGAGAGTGAAATAGGTTCGGCTGCTCCAGGTGCCCTGGTTGGGCCCCGAGGCTGTGAGCCAGGTCCGGCGGCTATATCCGCCCTGAATCACACGTGCATGGGGCGGCGTTGGACGGCAGTGTACAGCGATAGAATCATATCTCCACCCTCCAACACCGAGGCTACTGTAGGTGGTAATGGATCAGCACAAGGTAGGAGTACTGTTGGGTGCACCTCTGCTGCGCCTGCAGTGGCTGCTGCTGCTGCTGCTGCTGCTGATGCTGCTGCTGCTGCGCCTGCAGTGGCTGCTGCTGCTGGGGATGTGCCATTGGATGGTGGATCTCGCAATGGTGGTGTAATCAACGGTGGTGATTCAGCCGTTGGTGGCTCTACCAGTGCTGCTTGTGGTGGTGGTAGTGGGGATGCGAGACCTGCTGGTGGTGACAGCTGTCAACCTGGTGGTGGGAACACTGGCGCTCCCAGGTATGTAACTTCTCATTATTTTCACTGCCAATCCACCAATCAGTGAAAGTAAAGGCTGTTGTTTGTAACTATCCGAGTGTTTTTTTTCTTTTCTTTTTTTCGAATGTTTTCTTTTGTTTTCAGGTTTCTAAATGGCACCTTTTGCATGGATTGTGTTGTTAAAGCAGCCGATGGATCGACAGTGGTAAGGGTTGAAGGTAAAGCAATGCCCTCGAAAAGGGTGGCAAAACAATTGACAGCAGCAGCAGTGTTACAAGCCTTAGCCTCCAAAGAGTGGCCTTCCAGTGCCAATATGCTTCCATAAGTTTCAGTTTGTGATGGTGATTTTAATGGAGATGGGATTGTCTAGTACAGTATACTGGGAACTGTAAGGTGGCAAACAATACGGTGCGCACAAATGTCCTGTATAATGGTGCAAACCGAGAATGGAACCTGCAAAGGCGAAGTGTGTCTGCTGAGGGCTGTGTTCCGGACATTGTGAGTATGTGAAGCAAACGTTAAGGCATGGAACATTGTCAGTTGTAATGAAATAACAAACAGTAGAGCATTCGGGCGTCGTTGCCGATTTGCGAGTTGGGCCAGAAACATACACCTGGGGCGCCCTTTGTACCCTATTTCCAACTACCAGTCGACCATGAACAAAACCGTCTGGAGATTCCTTACATCCCTGGAGACATAACCAGTTAAGAAGCAAATACCGTACCGCAAGTTCCCTTGCCGTAGAATATTGAACTCAAGACCCTAGCTGAACATCTGAAAACTCAGACAGGGAGGAGGACCCTTATCATGCAGCTTGGATTAAGGTCTGCGTGTGCAAGCTGCGGCTAGGCACCACCACAAATGGAGCACGCTCCTTTCTCCCTCTTCTCCCTGGACCTCGGCTCGGTTACCTTTCGACCCGCTCGGGACTTCAGCTGTTGCAAAACGGCTGCGAACCTGGTTGCGACTCGAGTTATTTACAGGAACCTTGGATGCAGGAAGATTCCAAGAAGGTCTGGAAGGTCGATTCATTGTGATAGTTTGAGCTGTGAGTGGGGAAGCGAGTGGGGAAGGACGGGAAGAGAGTGAAAGTGCAGTAGCAGTTACAGCAGCACCAGCAGCCGTGGCAGCGGAAGGAGCAGAAGCATGTGCAACAGCAGCAGAAACAGCAACACCAGCACCAGCAGCACCTGCTGGGACCTTTGTTCCCTGACTAGCCTCAGCAGCTTCACCAGCGATTTTATCAAAAATATTTATTGCCTGCCCGCCTGGTGCACCTGCACCCGCAGCCGCACGGGTGTGAATAGCAACACGATTGTCAACAGCAGCAGGGATGTGAGCAACACGACTGTCAACACGACAGTCAACAGCAGCAGGGATGTGAGCAACACGACTGTCAACACGACAGTCAACAGCAGCAGGGATGTGAGCAACACGACTGTCAACATGACAGTCAACAGCAGCAGGGATGTGAGCAGCACGGTTGCCATGAGGAAGCATGTCAGAAGAGGTGCCTGCATGCCACGATGCCCTTCGTGAAATGGGCTGGTAACCGCCTCCCCCTGGTGATTGAGGTCCCCCTCCCCCTGGTGATCTAGCTCCCCCAGATGTTGCACTGGCAGGGGCAGGTGGGCTATCTGGGCTATCTGGGTGAAGGTTCCAGGACACCCGCTTGCCGGGTCTTGGAGAAACCCCGCTAGTGCTGGCTGATTTTAGGATCGAGCAGCGGGCAGAGTGGGAGGCGAGTCTCGGAGAAGAAGCGGTGGAGGTACTAGCAGGTGATATCAGACTGCAGCGGTGAGGAGAAGGGGAGACTAGTTTTGGAGAAGCAGCCGTGAAAGTACCACCAGGTGATTCCAAGCTAGAGCGGCGAGCAGCGGGGGATGGGGATGCGGTGGGGTGAGAGGGAGAGAGAGGAGGGGAGCCGGTTCTTGGAGAAGCAGCGGAGGTAGCAGCTGATTTCAGGCTGGAGCGGCGAACAGAAGGGGATAAGGAGGCGGAGGAGGAGTCTGAGGGAGTGAGAGGCGAGGTTTGGGATGAGGGAGTGAGAGGAGGAGATTCGGAGGAGGGGGTGAGATGGGGAGATGGTGATGGAGCGAGAGGAGGGGGTTGGGATGAGGGAGTGAGAGGAGGAGATTCGGAGGAGGGGGTGAGATGGGGAGATCGTGATGGAGCGAGAGGAGGGGGTTGGGATGAGGGGGTGAGAGGAGGGGATCGAGATGAGGGAGCGAGAGGAAGGGATAGAGGAGGGAGGCGTGACTTTATAGTCAACCCGGAAGGAGGATGACCAGGCTTGAGAAGAGAGGAATGAGCTGGGGGTGTAAAAGGCCGTGCTACACTTCTTGCCACAGTTTCTGCCACAATTTCTGCCACAGTTTCTGCCACAGCATGTCGATTCGCAGCAACAGCAGCAGCTGTAGCCGCATGCCGGTTTGCAGCAACAGCAGCAGACTTTACAGCTTCAGCCGCTGCTGCTGCCGCCGTCGCTGCAACCTTAGCAGCAGTAACCGCAAGCCGGCCAGCAGTCTCAGAGCTGTGATGCCAGTCTTTAGATTCGTGACTGTGCCGCCCATCTTTGTGCTTTATCATAGAAGCAAAGTCGTGAGTGTGAAGCCAGTCTTTGAAGTCGTGAGTGTGAAGCCAGTCTTTGAAGTCGTGAGTGTGAAGCCAGTCTTTGAAGTCGTGACTGTGAAGCCAGTCTTTGAAGACGTGAATGTGAAGCCAGTCTTTGAAGTCGTGAGTGTGAAGCCAGTCTTTGAAGTCGTGAGTGTGAAGCCAGTCTTTGAAGTCGTGAGTGTGAAGCCAGTCTTTGAAGTCGTGACTGTGAAGCCAGTCTTTGAAGTCGTGACTGTGAAGCCAGTCTTTGAAGTCGTGAGTGTGAAGCCAGTCTTTGAAGTCGTGAGTGTGAAGCCAGTCTTTGAAGTCGTGAGTGTGAAGCCAGTCTTTGAAGTCGTGACTGTGAAGCCAGTCTTTGAAGTCGTGAGTGTGAAGCCAGTCTTTGAAGTCGTGAGTGTGAAGCCAGTCTTTGAAGTCGTGAGTGTGAAGCCAGTCTTTGAAGTCGTGAGTGTGAAGCCAGTCTTTGAAGTCGTGAGTGTGAAGCCAGTCTTTGAAGTCGTGAGTGTGAAGCCAGTCTTTGAAGTCGTGAGTGTGAAGCCAGTCTTTGAAGTCGTGACTGTGAAGCCAGTCTTTGAAGTCGTGACTGTGAAGCCAGTCTTTGAAGTCGTGACTGTGTAGCCAGTCTTTGAAGTCGTGACTGTGTAGCCAGTCTTTGAAGTCGTGACTGTGAAGCCAGTCTTTGAAGTCGTGACTGTGAAGCCAGTCTTTGAAGTCGTGACTGTGAAGCCAGTCTTTGAAGTCGTGACTGTGTAGCCAGTCTTTGAAGTCGTGACTGTGAAGCCAGTCTTTGAAGTCGTGACTGTGAAGCCAGTCTTTGAAGTCGTGACTGTGAAGCCAGTCTTTGAAGTCGTGACTGTGTAGCCAGTCTTTGAAGTCGTGACTGTGTAGCCAGTCTTTGAAGTCGTGACTGTGTAGCCAATCCTTGCCCTTCATCATCGAAGCAAAGTCATGCATGTGCTTGCTCTCCTCTCTCCTTGCGACACCGCCTTTCACTCCTCCTCCTCCCCCTCCTTCTCCTCCTCTGCTTCCTCCTCCATTCGGCCCCACCCCACGAGGAGAGACCAAACCCGGAAGCCCATAGCTCTCGGGAGGAGCAATCAGTCTCCACACGGCTGTGGCGCTGAGATTCGGATCAGATCTGCTTTGGGGGATTTGATACGCCACCCGGCTGGAGCACGCGGCCTTGTACGATATCGAATCTGATTCAGACGAGGCTGAATATGAGGAATCCGGCAGAGCATAGGCAGAACGGCATGCAGGTACAGGGGGGCTGCGGACAAGCCAATTCTGCCGCTCCTGTTGCTGCTGCTGTTTCTCGGGCAGGTGCGAGCCGCCATGGTGCTTCTCGGGCAGGTGCGAGCTGCCCAGGCGCTTGAGAACAGGGCGGCGCAGAGAGGGGCAGAGGATCCGCCACGTGCTGTGAGCGTACAGCACCGTTTGCTCCGCTTCCCTCGCTTGCTCTGCTGCTTTCTCCGCCGCCTCTGCTTCCCTGGCTTCCATGGCTGCTTGCTCCGCTTGATCCTCCGCTTCCTCCGCTCCCTCTGCTTCCCGTGCAGACTTTCCCCATTCTTCCCCGGGTTCCTCCGCTCCTAACGTCACGCGTCCGATCAACGAATCTCGACCGCCGATTCGTGAGATTCGCATCAGGGCTCCTCCGCTTCCGCCGCTTCCGCCGCCCCACGCTCCCCTCTCCAGGCTCTTTGTTCTCAAGCCTTCAAGTCCTAAAGGTCTTCCCCGCGCTTCTTTTTCCGCTGCATCCGCGGGTGAGGGAGAGGGGGAGGCGCCGAAGCAGGGATTGGGGGAGCGGCCTGCGGGGACGAGGAACCGCGGGGAGTGGAAAACGGGGAGGGCGAGGAGAGGGGGCGACAGAGGAGCGGGAAAATGGCTGGGATGAGCTGGGAGCGATTACGAAGCGCGAAAGCGAAGCAACGGATGGAATGAAAGGGCGAGGAGAGATTTAACGGGGTGGGGAGGTGAGCGAGAGGGAGGGTAGTCTGGATAGGGGAGTAGGACAGAGAGCAGCAGGACCGGGGAGCGAAGGAAGAGGGTGAAAGAGTATGGTTTGGAGAGGGGATGGTGAACAAAACAGACTGGCATAATACCTGGTCCCACGATTTCGCCAAAGAAATCCGTTTTGTTCGCCCAATCGCGAACGCGATCCAACAAATCGCGCATGGAATGTTTCAGCTGCCCGCTCGTCACCAGCTCGTCGTCCGCTGCGATGGTTACAATCCTCCACGAAATTGGCATGCTGTTTCGCTCCGCCCCCAGCAGTCGCAGGGGCATCGCCAGCAGCGGGAAAACGTCGTACACGTCGCCAGGTTCCCGCGTCTGCGACCCGATCTCCAGCGCTTCAAGAGGTACGTTGTCGCACGCCGTTAAGAGCGAATCTGTGTGTTCATTATCACCATCGTTCGCATCCCCGCAGGAGAACATCGACATGGATCGCGACGCGAGCACGCACGTCTGCGGCATGATGCCCAGATTCCACGGCGACGCGAGTAGAAGCGCCGCCAACGACGACGACGACGACGACTTCGGCGACGATGACGGCGACGGCGACGGCGACGGCGATGGCGACGTCTCTGAGTCGCAATCGGTCTGCACTTTAATACGACTGCCGTCTAGGCCCAACACGACCTTCCGCTTCTCCCGCAAGAAAAGGGGGTCGTCGCGGCGACGAAGCTCTCGGCTCCCGCAATCGGCGGACGGGGACTTGGCGGAGCGGCAGACGAAGGAGAAGGTGCAGGCGGGGAAGGGGGGACCGGGGTGGCGCGGGGAGGAGAATTCATTGGCGGGAGACGGAGGCGGATTGAGGAGGATATCGTGCCAGATGGAGGACACGTGGCCGGCGTTGATTAGCGGGAGAATGCTCGTGGACGATCCGACGGTCCGGGGCGGCGCCATAATGACGTTGTAGATACCAGTAGTTATGATAGTGAGGCAGCAGTGGCAGCAGGGAGGCAGCGGGGAGGCAGCAGTCAAGTGAACTACTCTTGTGCTGCGAGAATGCCGAGGCGGAAATGGTGCGGGTTGATGAATAAGGCATCAGATGCAGATGTGCGAGATTAAGATGAATAACGAGGCCTCGAGCTCGGCCTCTCATTCTCGGATGCCTCTGAGAACGATATATAATGCCAGCGCCGTATTGGTTGACCGAATCGATCCCAAGTCGGCGGCGAAAACGCCGCGAGCAGTAATTAATGGGCCTTCCAAGATTTGCATGCAGTCGGAGAAACGACGACGTCGGCTGTCCGATCCGACGTCGAATCTTATCGTTATTCGTCTCCTGGCCGCCGTTGGTCCCGCAAAGTAACGCACGCTTGTGGCGGCCCGAGGAGGAGCCATGTGGATACTAAGCTAACGGAATGACTCCGTTTCAGTGGGTTTCCTGACCGGTAGTGACTGTAATTGCAGGCAGCAGATGCGCAAAGTACGGTCGAGGCAGACTGTAATTGTAATTGTCGAGGTCTGGTCTTAGAGATATCGTGTGAATGCGAGTTGTGTCTGTGGATGATGCATCACACACGCACTCGCTGCTAGATCCAGCAGTCATAAGTAGAAATGGCTGCCAATGGTGTCGCTTTCAAGTCGAGTCAAGAGAAAGGTCTGGTTGATGGATGTGCTCGGTACGAGAGGAGTTTCGGTACGGTTTAGTGAATACGGTTAAGTACGATGAGGTGCATTATGGAGCGGTTTTCCAGCTTCACCAAGTGAAGTGCTACTTCCTGGCCTGAACATTCATACGGTTTGGATGGAAGCGGGAGGTTGATTCGGGGCAGCCACAACTGCTGTTATTTACTGTATGGCTGGGTGGGAGGGATCACACGGTTTTCCGAACCTGAAGCAGCCAAAGTGCTCCCAAACCAAGCAGGTTCTCCTCTCCCCTCCATTCACCCAAGTTTCGTTTGCACAGCGCAGCAGCACCACATTTCCCATATTTCATTGGGGTAAAGGTTAAAGCCCGTGTCCCAAATTGCGGGCCGCGCGGGTCAAGCTTTTAAAGCCCAAGACCTGAATTACTCAACGGAAGTCAACGGAAAAAATTAGGTTCGGAAGGGAGGGACACGGAGGTTCGGTTGGGGTGCGAAGCATTTTCGCTCGCGAAACCAATTTGCGACAAAAGTTTCTCGCGCACAAGAATATGAGTGATGGGTGGTCCTTCCCACAACGACCAGAAAAGGGCGTCCATCCCAAACTGTGCACAGTTTGAGATAGCACGCAGATAACTAGGCATAGAGCATACCTGTAGACATAGCGGGGAATCAGAGGCGCCTTACGAATGAGTGTGGCGCGGATTTCGATGACGCGCAAAGATAGTGTCCGCTGGTGTCGAAATGCAGGTTTGAGTGCAACTGATGCGTAAACTCGCGGCGAATATCGTAGCGTGACCCTTCGCCCAAGCGTGAACCTCTCCTCGCCCTCGCTCCTTTCCCTAGGTCCCACGCTTCCAATCTCTTTCGCCATCGCTTCCCCAGCTCGTCGCCTTCGCGACCTCAGCCCGTCGCCTTCGCCCCGCCCGTCGCCTTCGCTTTCCACGCCTGTCGCCTTCACTTCCCCTCCCCCGTCGCCTTCACTTCCCCTCCCCCGTCGCCTCACTTTCCCCCCCGTCGTCACCTTCACTTCCTCTCCGCCGTCGCCTTCACTTCTCCCCCACCCGTCGCGCTCATTTTCCCCCTCCCGTCGCCTTCCCCCGCCCGTCGCACTCGCTTTCCCCGCCCGTCACACTCGCTTCCCCGCCCGTCGCACTCGCTTCCCCGCCCGTCGCACTCGCTTCCCCCGCCCGTCGCACTCGCTTCCCCCGCCCGTCGCACTCGCTTCCCCCGCCCGTCGCTCTCGCCTCCCCCGCCCGTCGCACTCGCTTCCCCCGCCCGTCGCTCTCGCTTCCCCCGCCCGCCGCACTCGCTTCCCCTCCCGTCGTCACCTTCTCTTCCCCGCCAGACGCACTCGCTTCCCGCCTGTCGCCTTCACTACCCCTCCCATTGCCGTTCACTCTCTCCTGCTCACGCTCTCCCCCCCGCTCACTCTCTTCCCCACCCTCACTCTCTTCTCTCCTGTACACTCCCTTTCCCCCTGTTCTCACCCCTCTCTTTCCCCCTTCACTCAACCCTTTCCCCCTGCTCACTCTCCTCCCCCCTGCTCACTCCCTTCCCCCCTGCTCACTGCTCACTCTCTTCCCCCCCCCCCCCCCGTTACTCTCTTCTCCCGTGTGCACTCTCTTTCCCCCTGCTCACTCTTTCCCCCCCTGCTCACTCTCTCCCCCCCTGCTCACTCTCTCTCCCCCTGCTCACTCTCTTCCCCCCTGCTCACTCTCTTCCCCCCTGCTCACTGCTCACTCTCTCCCCCCCATACTCTCTTCTCCCCCGTGCACTCTCTTCTCCCCCCTTCGCTCTCTTCTCTCCTGTTCACTCCCATTCCCCCTGCTCACTCCCCCTGTCCTCACCCCACTTTCCCTCTTTCTCACCCATTTTCCCCCTTCTCGCTCTCTTTCCCCCTTTGCTCGCCACCTTTTTCCCGGCTCACTCCATTACTCCCACGCTCTCTCTCTCCCCCTCTGCTCACTCTATTCCCCCCTGCTTACTCTCTCCCCCCTTGCTCACTCTCTTTCCCCTCTGCTCACTCTCTCCCCCTCTGCTCACTCTCTTTCCCCCTGCTCACTCTCTCCCCCTCTGCTCTCTCTCTTTCCCCCTGCTCACTCTCTCCCCCTCTGCTCACTCTCTTTCTCCCTGCTCACTCTCTTTCCCCTCTGCTCACTCTCCCCCCCTCTGCTCTCTCTCTTTCCCCCTGCTCACTCTCCCCCCGTCTGCTCTCTCTCTTTCCCCCTGCTCACTCTCTCCCCCTCTGCTCTCTCTCTTTCCCCCTGCTCACTCTCTCCCCCTCTGCTCGCTCTCTTTCCGCCTGCTCACTCTCTCCCCCTCTGCTCTCTCTCTTTCCCCCTGCTCACTCTCTCCCCCTCTGCTCGCTCTCTTTCCGCCTGCTCACTCTCTCCCCCTGCTCTCTCTCTTTCCCCCTGGACTCACTTATCTTTCCCCCCTGTTTACTCTATATTCCCCTTCGTTCAACCCTTTTTCCCCACAATCCCTCCCCCTGCTCACTCTATTTCCCCCTTTGCTCACCCCCTTCTCCTCCCTGCTCACTCTATTTTCCCCTTTGCTCATCCCCTTCTCCTCCCTGCTCACTCTATTTCCCCCTTTGCTCACCCCCTTCTCCTCCCTGCTCACTCTATTTCCCCCTTTTCTCACCCCCTTCTCCCTGCTCACTCTATTTTCCCCTTTGCTCACCCCCTTCTCCTCCCTGCTCACCCTATTTCCCCCTTTTCTCACCCCCTTCTCCCCCCTACTGACTCTCTTTCCCCTTCGCTCACCCTTCTGCCCTGTCCCCACTCCTCCCATACATGCCCTTTGTACCTCCCACCTCCACCCCTCGCTCATTCGCCGTACCCCCTCTTCCCTCCCCATTCTATCACAGAACCATGCTTGTACAGGTGCCCGGCACCATGGGTCCCAACAGGAGTGGGATGGAAAGTTACCACCCCCTAGGTTTGTGCATTGTGCCTCTATAATCCACTGTTGACAACTTTTATAAAAATATAACTTGCTTTGTTGCATTTCTTTGTCGTGGTCATGTGCATGGCTGCTCCAAAGCCCAGAGTGTTGTATGATTGTATCATGAAAAGCATCCACCATCATGGCATGGCATGGCATCGCTATTTGTACCACTATCACCCAACAGCAAAGACATCACAACTTCATGCATGACAGACCTGCACAAACACGAACCACAAAATCTTCTGTGCCAAAAGTTGAAGCAGCGGGGAAGGATACAAAGCAATGCCAATGGAAGGGCAGGCAGGGAACAAGAAACAAGCCCCTAGAATAAACAAACAAGGTAGGAGTGTACAGGCGTGGCAGGGTAGAAGGGTGCGGAGGAATGGTTGACGAGAGGAAGTGTGGAGGCTGAGAGGAAGGGAGGATGGCAGCGAGGGATGCAGGGAAAATAAGCATGCGCCGAGGGAGAAAATGAGCAAGGGAGACAAGGAGGAAGGGCGGAAGAGAGAAAGGGAGGGGGGAAGGAAGAAAGGGAGGATGGGAGGATGAGAGAACGGGAGGATGAGATGAAGGGAGGATGAGAGGAAGGGAGGATGAGCGCAAGGGCTGGAGGGTGGAAGGGTGGAAGGGGAGAAGGGGGGATGAGAGGATGTGAGGAATTCAAGTAGGGATAGGACAAGTGGGTGAGACGGAAAGGCGGACTATAGGAAGCTCGGAAGGTGGCAGTTAGAAAAGAAGGTCGGCATGGTGGAAGAGAGGCACGAGGATGAAAGAAAGAGTGGGTGAGAGAGTGGTAGGGAGGAGGGAGACTGGGAGGAGGGGCGGACGGGAGAAGTGGAGGGAAAGAGAGAGAAAGTCGATTTTTGAGTCGACTCAAAAATTGAAAGAAAGAGTGGGTGAGAGAGTGGTAGGGAGGAGGGAGACTGGGAGGAGGGGCGGACGGGAGAAGTGGAGGGAAAGAGAGAGAAAGAGAGGAGGGAGGAATGGAGAGTGGAAGGGCGGACAGGAGAAGGCGAATTAGCGGACGAGAGAGGAAGTCGGGACGGCTTCCTGCCCCCGCCACCCCCACTCCCCTGCCCCGCCTCCCCCACTCCCCTGCCCCGCCTCCCCCACTCCCCTGCCCCGCCTCCCCCACTCCCCTGCCCCGCCTCCCCCACTCCCCTGCCCCGCCTCCCCCACTCCCCTGCCCCGCCTCCCCCACTCCCCTGCCCCGCCTCCCCCACTCCCCTGCCACGCCTCCCCCACTCCCCTGCCACGCCTCCCCCACTCCCCTGCCACGCCTCCCCCACTCCCCTGCCACGCCTCCCCCACTCCCCTGCCCCGCCTCCCCCACTCCCCTGCCCCGCCTCCCCCACTCCC